CCAAACCCCACCCCAAACCCCCCACACACCACTCGGAGCCGCGCTCCCGTCCCGGTAAAAGCCCTTTATTGTCACTCCAGGGGCGGCTCCAGCAGGTAGCCATTCTCGGTCCAAACCCCACCCCAAACCCCCCACACACCACTCGGAGCCGCGCTCCCGTCCCGGTAAAAGCCCTTTATTGTCACTCCAGGGGCGGCTCCAGCAGGTAGCCATTCTCGGTGCCCAGGTAGCCATCGGCGGCGGGCGCTCCCTCGCCCGCCAGGAACATCTCCCCGTCTCCCCCGGCTCCGCCGCCGCCGTCGCCGCCCTCGGCCGCTCTCTCGTCGCGCCGCTCCCGCTCCCGTTTGTGCTCCCGCTCCCGCTCCCGCTCGCGCTCCCGCCGCCGCTCCCGCTCGCGGTGCCCGCGCCGCCGCTCCCGCTCCCGCTCCCGCTTCTCCGCCGCCTCCCCCGCCATCCCCTCGCCCGCCCCGGGCTCGCCGCCGCCCCCTCCCAGCTCCTCGGGGGCCTCCGGCGGCTCCGGGGGTCCCTCGTCCTTCTTGTCGCGCTCGCGGTCGCGTTTGCGGTCGCGGGAGCGCGAGCGGCGCTTGCGGTCGCGCTCGCGGTCGCGGTCCTTGCTGCGGTCGCGGCTCCCGCCGCGCTTCCGCTCCCGCTCGTCCTTCTCGCGGCTCCGCGTCCGCCGCCGCCGCTCCCGGGAGCGCGAACGGCGCCGCTCCCGCTCCCGGGAGCGCTCCCGGCGGTCCCGCTCCCGCTCCCGCTCCCGGTCCCTGCGGCACGGCGCGCGTCAGGGGCGGCCCGGGGGGCTCTGACCCGTCCCGGGGGGGCCAAGGGGGTCCCTGACCCATTCCAGGGGGTCCCAAGGGGTCCCTGACCCATCCCGGGGGGCTCTGACCCATCCCGGGGGTCCTTGACCCATCCCGGGGGGGTCCCAAAGGGGTCCCAAGGGGTCCCTGGCCCATCCCGGGGGGTCCCAGAGGGGGTCTCTGATCCATCCCAGGGGGTCCAAGGGGTCCCTGACCCACCCCAGGGGGTCCCAAGGGGGTCCCTGACCCATTTGAGGGGGTCCCAAGGGGTCCCTGGCCCATCCCGGGGGGTCCTTGAGGGTCCCAACGGGGCCCTGGGGTGACACTGGGGGTCCCAAGGGGTCCCTGACCCATCCCAGGGGGTCACAAGGGGGTCCCAAGGGGGTCCCTGACCCATCCCGGGGGGTCACAAGGGGGTCCCTGACCCACCCCAGGGGGTCCCCGAGGTGTTCTGGGGGTCCCTGACCCATCCCAGGGGGTCCTAAGGGGTCCCTGGCCCATCCCAGGGGGTCACAAGGGGGTCCCAAGGGGGTCCCTGACCCATCCCGGGGGGTCACAAGGGGGTCCCTGACCCATTCCAGGGGGTCCCAAGGGGTCCCTGACCCATCCCGGGGGGCCCCCCCCCCCCCCCCCCGGGGGGGGCCCCCCGAGGTGTTCTGGGGGTCCCTGACCCATCCCAGGGGGTCCTAAGGGGTCCCTGGCCCATCCCAGGGGGTCACAAGGGGGTCCCTGACCCATTTGAAGGGGTCCCAAGGGGGTCCCTGGGGTGGCCTGGGGGTCCCTGACCCATCCCAGGGGGTCCTAAGGGGTCCCTGGCCCATCCCAGGGGGTCCCTGAGGGTCCCAAGGGGGGCCCTGACCCATCCCAGGGGGGCCCTGGGGTGACATTGGGGGTCCCTGTCCCATTGCAGAGGGTCCCAAGGGGGTCCCTGACCCGTTTCAGGGGGTCCCGGAGATGTCCTGGGGAGCCCTGACCCATCCCAGGGGATCCCTGAGGTGACATTGGGGGTCCCTGGCCCGTTCCAGGGGGTCCCAAAAGGGTCCCTGAGGTGTCCAGGGGTTCCATGAGGGTCCCAAGGGGGTCTCTGATCCATTTCAGGGCGTCCCAAGGGGGTCCCTGACCCATCCCAGGGGTCCCTGACCCATCCCAGGGGGTCCCAGAGGTGACATGGGGGTCCCAGTGACAATCCGAGGGGTGACAGTGACAATCCCGGGGGTCCCAAGGGTGACACAGGGAGTCCCAATGACAATCCCAGGGGTCCCAAGGGTGCCAGGGGTCCCAGAGGGGTCCCAAGGGTGCCAATCCCGGGGTCCCAGAGGTGCCAGGGGGTCCTAAGGGTGCCAATCCCGGGGGTCCCACCCAAAATAGGAGGAGGAAATAAAAACCCCCAAAAAATGAGGAAAACCACCAAAAAAAAACCCCAAAAATCACCCACCCGCCCACTGCAACCCCCAATTTTGGGGGCGAACAGCCCGGAATTGGGGGCGATCCCCCCCCCCTTTAGGGCCCCGGGGTTTGGGGAGGGGGGTTAATTTGGGGAGGGGGCGTTAATTTGGGGAGGGGGCTCACCCAGGCGCCGCGGCCGCCAGCCCTTGACGGTCCTGCCGCGCTCCACGTCCACCAGCACGCGGCGCCCGTCGATCTTCTTGCCGTCCGCGTGCTTGTAGGCGGCTGCAAAATATTTGGGGAGGGGTCCCG